ACGCTCTTGTCAATGTTCTCAGTCGATGTTCTGGTTCCGAATGTATCTGGCACACGTATGGTTTTGAACGTGGTCATTCTGGTCGTTTCTGGCTACCTAGCTCAATCTGGTTCCGTCCTATGTCAGCAGTTTGTTCTGGTACGGACCGCTAGGAACGCAATCTTTAGTCAGAAAACACAATTGCTGAAATATAAACATTTATTATTGTACTTAATTCTAACAATAACTGTCATATTGTACTCCTTTTGTTTATCTGTACTAACCACTATCTCTCGCGAGCCAAGCGTGTTATTCCCTCTCCGCTCTTATCCTAGCTGTTTCTCAGCCGCTTGTGTACCTTCTCGATACCTCGATATTATTTCGATATCACGAGGCTAGCAATAAACATAGATCTTCATCTAGAATCGTCTTTTCTTTGAATTCCATACTATCGGGATTTACATTAGGAATCCAGTGAATAATTGTAGTTATATCGATTTACTATAGCATATTGTGGCCAACTAGTGTCTTCTACGTAAAGTTACCAGCTACCATGGGACTGCATCCTCTAACGTTACTTCACTCCTTTGTGGATTAGACTTCTAAGTCAAGAGCTCGGGGAGTAGTTCCTAGTAAAACTACCTGTTTCGGTTTGAGCATACGAGTAGTGTCCCAGCTCACATAAAAATTCATTAATTTGCTTGTCACATAATTATTTAGGTGTCTCTTTGTGCTAATACTTATATGTTCAAATCAATATATAGAAGCCCTCAAGTATTTGGCGTTGTTTCGATCGTTGTATCAAGTCATTTAGTAATGTGGTCTCAAAAGAAAATGCAGACCTTAGTTTTGGTTTCACCACTGAGACTGCTTCATGTTCACGGTTTGACATCTTGTAATGGACTTGACAAGAACTTTATGATTTTCACATCCACCAACATATTCAGAAATAATGTTATGGATGAGGTATGTTGGTTTTTGGTAGTAGTGGGATTGATTGTTTTAATGGATGTGCAGCGTATTTGACATTCATTCAAAAAACCCATATATTGAGCCGATGCTTTGAAATGAACTGCGTTAATATACAGTATGTTTAGCCAGTGATCATAACGCTCTCAACCTAGTTATACCACACTTTTAAGTACCAATATTCATGCAAAATGCATGAATATATATTAGCAAAAAATACGGGCGATTGTAGGGTGTGGTTTTTGTAATTCATTCACCCGCTGGACGAGACTATCTAACTGTAATATCATATAGCATTTACTTCGCACAAGTGTATGCCTACTGTGTCGAAGGTCACCATTAACAAACTTCACGACTATAGTTGCAGTAAGAGTTACTTTGATAGAGAATGCTAGTCGGCAGCTTATGCTCCATTAGGGGTAACAGGTGGAAGTATAAGTAAGCAAGGATTATTTTCTTAATAGACTCACTTGTAACATCTGGAACACAGCAACATTCAAGATGATATTTTGGATCTGTTTAGTGTGTGAAAAGAATAACAGTGGTCAATCCAACTTAATGATTAGAAACGGATGAAGTGGATCAAAATCGGCCACGATGGTGTGTATGTATTCATTTTTTTATCTTCACCTATATCAGACCGCTTATTCTCTTGTTTTACTCAGACTATATTCTTGTCTAGTTTTTCTTACTGTCACTGATAGGTTTGTGTTAGCTCCTACGTCGATCAATAGGCGACACATACAAGACTATGAATAGCAGCACTGTTCAACAAATTTTCTCTATTAATGTGAGATATAAGGGAAATTACTACGTGTTGATTAGACAGAAAAGCTGAATGATTGGATTATTTCTTGCTAAACAGCTGATACGAGGAAGTCTGCAATACATTTTCACTGCTTACGAGAAGTGAGCTGTTGAGATTTCGATCGGTTAGGGTTATTTTTATCGAAATCTTTCGTTTTAGCTCGGCTGATCTTTAATCTTCTCCAATTAATAGTGTTCAGCAACATTGGGAACCTGACAGTCACGTGTTAAACGAATAGTGTCTCTCAGCCTAGGGTTGTAGAAATGTGGAGTTGTATTGCTGTCGTGAAGTGATCCAAGTTATACAACCACCGAAGGCCCGGGTTCGATTCCTGACATCGGGTCGCGGGTATGCATAGCTGGGGAGTCCCGTGCTAGGATGGAGCGGCCGTCCGGTGACTCCTGGTGTATAATAGTTATTTTACTTAGATCGGCTTTTGATTTTACTAAAGTAGTGATTCCTCTTTAATTGGACAAACTCCATGCCTGTTAATGTTCGGAAACTAGCTTAGTAATAAAAGTCAGTAATAAAAGAGTAGACTACGCCAGTAGTTATTTACCATATCTCCCTGATTCCGTGTTCTAATCAATACTACTGTTGAACCATTATATGACTGATCATTAAAAGTTTAAATCTAAGTCATTACGAAGGTCACAGGCAGTTTTTTAAGCTCCTTAGGGTGCTCTAAATAGTATGATGATATGATATCATTAATATTGAAACGTAGGTTGGTAATGCTCCTTCTGAAAGAAATTAGTCCAATATCAAGAAGAAGGGTTTGTGTAGATGTCCAATTAAACATAATGAAGGTGAATTAAAGCAAGAAAACTGAACATCTTTGATTTACGTGATAAAATGTCTATTTCGTAAAGTGATGTGCTATAGGTTAGATAAAGCTGGTTTCACTAAAATGGTTGACAAGTGAGTAAATTGAAACTTACAAATGGACAGTTCGATTTAGGCAACTGACAAGGGGGAGTTATGTTCCTGATGTTACGTATTGAGGTGATTTTACAAGCTCATACTTTCGACTAGCAAAGAACAGTCGTATCCTCCGGACATATTCCTGTTTGGTAAATTAATAATTGAAGAACTTGGCTTCAAACTAATATGTCTCACGTCCGAACCCTCCTTACCCGTTTGATTTGGCCAGATAGGCGATATAATTAGTCTTCACGCAAACAATACGACTAAAGGCCGATTACTTAAACCTGTACTTAGTATATCAATGAAATCCGTACTCATATTCAACATGAAGATGAAATCAGAGCTAAATAAGACTGTATTTCCTTATTCATAATTTCTAAACAAGTGAAAGTGAATAACACAGTAATAACTGAGTTTTTCCAAAAATTGGAAAGCATGCCGTTATAATGAATGTTATCTGTACACAAAAACGTTTAAATGTTACATATCGTCATCTATTTCTTAGTGATGAGTTTCATTTTTCAACCTTGCCTGCCTTCGGCTCTGATAATTTCTTCAAAATCACTTGCGAGTTTCGTACATTTCAGCACTAACAATACAGAGTCTGAATATTCTGCCGTGGGGCTGATAGACAAGTGTGGTATATATATATCTATATATATAATTCCAAATCTTGATACAGGGTAATGTGAATAATTGTTTTGTATTAATTCATAACATTTCATACAGTGATCCGTCTAAATCCCTGTTAGATTTATTATGAAATGGTGTGCAAAAGATGATTTGAAGCGAAAAGAAACCATTTTTTCCTAAATTAAACAGAATTTATTTAGTGTGTCTAATAAAGGTTAGTCATAACTCATTACTACAAACGAATATTTTCAGTTTTTTCCAATCAGATTGTACGCAATCTTTATCTAACGAAAACAGGTTCATATTCAATCATGAGACACTAGGCGTACAAAGAAGAAACAGTAAAGTGAAATCGATTTGATGCTACTTACGCTACATAATAAGCTGATTCGATGATCAATAGTGTTACCCAGTCAAGGTCAATAAATGTGGAGCGATGGTTTGTAAAGATAATTTCTTCCATCATACAATGAATAACGTATTCGAAACACTAAATATCTATGAAATAATAAAGAAGCTCGGCAGTTCAGATCGATACTTTAAAGTTGAGACCCGAGTGACAGGATGGACGAATCCAGAAGTATTGCGTTTCTGTGTGTACATGCTATCCGAAGGCCAAATGTTGAATCAGAGATGCAGAGGGAGGGCGACACGCTGTTGATTGTAGCTACTTAAATTTATGTTTCAGGTGTCTGAGAGACACGTGTATATTTACATACCTATGAGTTGAATGCACTTTGATTCAGTTTTCGGTTACAGCTTCCTACAAATTCTTGCTCTTCTTTTTCATATACCAGGCTGGACTCAATATGGAGTGTATGTCTGTAAGTGATCGGACGACCGCAGAACACAAGACTGATACTATAGTCCACAACGATAGCCAAATCTTACCAAATAAATCATTCAGCACAGAGAAGTTTTCACCACTAAAATTTAGGTAGCTATAAACGTATAGCATGGACAACTTTCCGGATGAAAAAGATTATAAATGAGTGTTCGAAAATCTGTTGATCGAAAAGTTCAGTAAATTTTTATCCATCAGATGTTTTGTTCTCATTTATTATTAACAATAAGAAGAAGGAACATTGTTAATGCATTAGTGTACATATTGAATATAAGTATACTTACTCGTTTGTGTCTCTCAGAATGTGTATTTGTATATGTGTATATAACGCATAATTGTGTACAACAAACATAATCAAGGCATAATAATCGTAGTATAAAAATGAAGGCAAATAAGACAAAAACACAACAGTTAGATGAAAAAGTTTCAATATTCAATATTTCTCAGTTTATATTCCTATTTCTTTTTGGTTTCACAATATAATCACGAACATAGTATCGAGAAAGTATCACTTTCCAACTATTTACTGAATAATTGTGAATGAGAGCATTTCAAATATCAACATTATATGTAGATATTTGTATAATTTGAATATGTATGTGTGTAATATATATGTATATATATACATGTTTTATTATACAAAAGAATGTGTACATGTGATGAAGTATCAGTTGTAAACGTCCTCGTCCAACATTATATCAGTAATCCTAGTACCAGTCGTATAGTAATGGTTCTGAATACAAAAAAATGATAATTGTTCTAAATGCATTGCAGTTCGTTTCTAAATAAAAAAGGAATTGACTGAAATGTATGAAATTGGTTAAAAACCATGGATATGATGCTTGCGATAATAATGAACAACCAAATAATTCATTGAAAATCTGTAACTTTAGTGGAAAGATATATACTACTATAAAGTAGTTTGACACGTTGTCATTAAGATATGTAAATATAGGAAGTGATATTAGTGTAAGCACGATTTAGGTGAATAATTTTCTTTATAAAATTTCCAGTTCCTCATAAATAGCTTATAACAGATACTATTCGGAGTCATTTGTCTGATTTCGTTTCGTACATCATTGTCAAATAAAATCGAGTGTTCCACAATCGTTTTCGTATTCACACGTCGTAATATCGGCCAAAAATAATATTCCTCAAATTTCATATAAACAGCCCGATCAATTACTTTGTTGGCTAATTTAACATCGTGTACTAAAAACTTTCTAAATGTTTCCGGTTTCCAATCACCCATAAGACCAAAATGAAAATTATTCTTGGAATGAATGACTTCTGGTGAATAATTTGGTAGATATTGTCTTAATATAAATGAGGCTTGCCTCAACTTTTTCGATGATGGGCATTTAATATGTAAATATTGGAATAGTTTTATAACTCTTGGACTTTGTAGCCAATGACGTTTTTGCTCACTAGTCCACTCGACTATATCTTGTACAATTTCAAACAGACCATAATATATTTTTGTTTTCAGTTGTGTTTCATAAAATTTAACCAGTATTTTATCATCACTATCATTACCAACAGTGTTCATTTCAAATGATGATTTGAAACTCAACGAACAATTATCTACTTGGTAATTGGACACTGAATCTGTTTTGTAGACATGTCTAATTGTTTGGCGCCATTTATAATCCAAAAGCATTAACCATTGATCTAGTAATTCAGCTACAGTATTTGATGATACGTTATTAATATTATATTCATGATTAGTCATTGAATGATTATGGATAAGAAGCATGAAACTCTGAAAAGCCTGCCTATATTTAGTTAAAATTTGCAAACTCATAAGTAATTCCGTTTGTACAAGTTTCGCAAGTTTGCTTTTCAGTATACTACAATACTTAAGTTTTGCTTTATGATGGAGTGTATTGAAGTAATAGGCTGGCGCTTCTAAAACTATCACTTGCTGTGAACCTACTTTTACAGTATTACTTGAGGATGGTGGAGATGTTGTTAAGGTGTTGTTTGCATATGACTGGTTAGAAACGTCTTTATCGATTGAAACGAATCGCTGGTAACTTGAAGAGTTTTTTTGTGCTTCAATAACAGCTAATAATCCTTTTGGCTGGAATCCATAAACTTGCCACGTTGCTTCAGGTTCCCATAACTGATGAGTCCAACCGGAAGCTAACATAAGCGATTTCTCATCAACTACACTTAATGTTGGAGATCTTCCATCATAGATTTTTGCATTGTTAGATGGATTAGAAAGGATGTGTTTCGGGAATTCATTGATGATATCGTCTTCAGTTAGTTCACGCTCAAAGCCTATCCCATGCCTTGATGCTCTAAGGTGCCATTCACAGTTATCGGTTAATGTCTGGTTAATAATACGCTGTGCAAAAAAGACAACAAATGATGAGTGCATGTACATAGCATAAGCAACTTCTATGATATAACTTCAATGGATAATGCGTGTGTAAATAATTAAACTAGTAAACTATTTCAAACTCTTCTATTCCCTATTGATCTTGTCAAGTCTTCTGGAGTTTTGCTAAACTTTGTTATCGGACCTGGGAATAACAAATACTATCCATTATAAATGTTCACCCTAGTCAGTTTTTCAGAAATTGATAACCTAATTGGAGACCCAATGAACATCGAAAATATATAGACTATGTAGTCCAATTTAAAGAGTAAAGTGTTTAGATCGAGTTTTCTGAGATTCAGGTTCAAACACCTAAAGAACGCATTGCATTCATGCTTCACCTTGGGAGAATGAGATGATAATGTATGGATGGACAAAATGGATCAACTTGTTCAAGTGGTAGACGAAGTAGTTAATGGAATTGAATACTTGTAAAGTGACATTATCTTTGGTGTGTTGGTCCCAGACAGAGAGATAAACCACACAGCTGTGCTACTTTGGTGTATTTAAATAGTTTTTACAGAGGATTAGAACTACCGTGTCAATACAAACACAAGTACGGGGGCGGGAGAACGGTCTTCATATATCGCAGCAAACACGATGTCAGTTGCCGATTATTATGGAATCAGATGAGTGAGATTTGTCAGCTTTATACTCCATTATCAAACAAATTTAAGCTTCTCAAATTCCTCAATCAATAACTCAAAAATCAATGCCTACTAGTAACTTGTTTCCACATGAATCTTCCGAAATGCTAATGACAAGTTATGACCTATAAAATAAATTTAAGCAAGAGTAAGAAAAAGCTTACCAAAGATGTTCAATACTCTTCGTGAACCGTTTAAATCTGACTATGCATCTAAATAACATAACTAAGAGGCTAAATAAAAATGGAACGGCACTCATTGTTTCTCGGATTATAGTGTCTATCCAGTTAGGATCGATTAGTTATAAACGCTGTTTATTATCTTCTACATTTTCGTAACAATGAATTCAGATGTTTCTTTTTTTTCTATTCAAAGTGAATGGTTCTCAAATTATTAAAATATTTTTAAAATGACCTCATAGTAAGAAAGTTGCATACCTCTGTGTAGACTGTCCCGTTCAGATGCATACAGATACAAATATTTTTAGCGAATTTACGGAGGATCACTCTTGATCCATCACGTGGTTGCAGTGTTTTTAATAAGTTATCTTTATTCATTGATGTTGACCACTCGGCAATTATTGAAATTGTGATCATCGCTAGTCGGATAAAAGAAAGAAGGATATTCAAGTTTAGCGTCATAAACACACTCAAAACAGACGCAGAAACGAAACGAATATGGTTTTTTAAACATTGAAGTACATCAATTGTTTCTTAACAGTAATTTCGTTATCTCTGAGAAATTAACAATAGAAACGCTGAAACAAAATGAAATAGTATGTTTCCACTTCAATTTAACTAACTCACTAATGCCTATCATTTTCAAGTCGTTTCATGTTTTAAAACTCAACATGATTGACTGTTAGTCATGTTTACCTGAGAAGAATATTAACAGATCCACTGAATTTGAAGGGCATGGAAAGTGACTGAAAACATTGATTCCTGTAAACATGTGCAGTATCAAGTAGACACCATTTAATTGCCTCACAAGTTAAAATCTACAATTGAATGCATCATGACACCTGGTGATAACCATCAAGCTTCTTTTACAGTGTTCTTTACAATGAAATAGATACCGATTTGGATATGTCATGAGTTTGCTTGTGTATACTGGGACAACCGAGTACGCAATGCAGTCGTTGGGAAACGAGTACTAGGTAAGGATGGTAGATTGATAGATAAAGTATTGAAATTTCATCAGTTGAGGTGGTTGGGACATGTGTTACGTATGCCCAAACACCAACTGCCTCGACGATCAATGTTTTATGGTGTAGGAGTTGTTTGGAAGAAATCTAGGGGCCTGGCCAAAACAAAACATAATACAAATCCATGAAATCACTGACAAGTCGACTGAGTCATGTTGGTAGGTGTTGACTACCGGGTTATGGTCCGCGGGACGAAAGTCAACGATGGTTAGAGACCTTGAACGACATTGCTCAAGATCGTTTGCAATAGCTCAGGTGCATTCATTCATTGTGTTCTGTCAAATCCGAATCTTCTGAATTCCTCATCATCTTCATCTTTCTTTTTCTAACTTCATCTCACTGAGTTATACCCTAATCTTCTGCATTACGGCTAATATTTCCAATATCGCTATAGGATTTGAACTGACAGTTGCGTGTCTGTGCTAATGAGATATCGCAACCTGAACTGGTGTGCATACGTACGAAGTTGTCAATGAAGTCATTTTAGTGTCATTACTCTTGAGAAATTATGTTACAAAAATGATGAAATCGGTCAGTTCGATTTTATTTGTCTAGTTCTTTCACATTTATCTAAGAGAAACTTTATTAAACAATTATCACACAATACTACTGTATAGTCCTGGTTATAAACGTACTTCGCTGCATTTTTCCTTACTCAAATGCAATCAGCGGTTAGTCGGCAGTTCGGTTTTAGTTGTGTACTTGGTAAGATCTATGATTTGTCAAGTCATCTGTCTCTTACAATCCATGAATATAGTTCTACAGTTCAAAGACCAGAATCATGCAAAAGTTTGCGAGCACTCCTCTTGTCACTCTGCTTTTTAGATTGGCACACTTGAACAAAAGGAAAATTCATTGGTTTGTTGAAGATCGGAAATCAAATCTATCAATAGAAATAATTTGTTTCTATTGATGCAGGATCTAATCTTTGGAAATGGTCAACTTAATTAGATAAACCTTAACAATAACTCGATATGAATTCACATCTGACGATTATATCTTAGTTTGATTTTAAATACTGTTAGCCACACTAGTATAGTTGTAATTGAAAATTTTATCACTAAGAAATTTATATTCTGATACTGCTAAGAATTTAAGTGCATTGTATTTAAATGCTTTCACCAAGACTTACGAATGATATTCGATTTCGTCTTCAAAAATAAACTTTACGGACATCGGGTTAACAAGCGTTTTACTAACGACAACAACACTGACCAAAATGTTAAAGGAAAAACTGGGATTCAGTTGCGTTATTGAGCATTGAAGAACTGTCGCAACTGCTAATGAACTGTGTGCTTGTTATTGGGAACAGTGAATGATACGACGAAATTGTGAAAACGAAGGCGACAGATGAGGATTTATTTGATACCAAAGATAAATCGAAACGACATTTGAACACACTAATTTTCGTATGATTTATTGATACCGATTAGCAGTTAAATTTGTCTAAACTAAACTAAGTATTATTGCACATCAACGAATCAAGGACTTGCTGTAAGAACAGGCATTTACAATATCATAAAATCAAACGGTTATCACCAACAGATGGAAATAATTCACTCAATTATTTAATTCTTTAGACTATTGTTTCTAGTAGTTTAGAGAGTCTTCTATCGATTGTCAATACCTTGGTTGCTCCAATATGTCAAAATAAATATTCACTGACATAACGTCTAATACATTTTGTAGTGTGAAAAAACACATGCCTTACGATAGCATGAAACTATCATGAACACATCATAAACGTAAGTATCATTTAGATAATGGTTTTATGAATTTTCCAAATCCTATTGATAAGAGCATGTTAATAAGATGCAAGTATGCTTTATCTTCTGAGCTAGTTTTTATATGATTACAACACTGCATAAGCAGATAAATGTCTGGTTAGTGTAAATGATATTTAAAAAGAACATTGTTATTTAAATTGATGAACAAATGGTAGTTAGGATTTCTTCATAGATTACCATATAACAATGTTTACACAAACTGTCAACAAAATTTAAACAGACATTTGGAGTTTATTAATTCGAAATCCAGTGTATCTATCTAATGCATATGAATGTTAGATATTTTGGTTACCATTCAATAAGTCGCTTCTCTGGTTTTCATTTCGATC